TAAATTACAATGACATAGAAAATATGTTAAAATGAAGAAAACCACAACATTCCATTCACTCCACACACTTACACCCAAAACACACACTTCAATTAATACACACTACAATAATTACAAGGTAAAACTCTTATTACAGTACACTTATTTCAATACACTTATTTACGTATACTTATTTGCTACTGAAGCTATTCGTGTGTACTATTTAAGCACTCAATGTTGAAGTAATCACTAACTCCTAAGATACAGGATTACCTAGTTTAGGAGTTAGGGAATCACAAATGTTGGCATTTCTTTACTATATTTTTATGTTTCTTTTTATGTTGTGCCTTGTAATGCCATTGTATTTCATTTTTCTTTGATCAATAAATTATTATAAATTATTATAATTTGCGTAGCATATACATAAAAAAATACAGTCCAATTGAGAACCTCCTCCTTTGTTTGAAGTCGGTTAAAAATCTATTTAGCTACCAAAAATCAGTGGTCCACAAATGTAACTATACAAGGCGAACTTCACATGTCTTCGAATGTGCCACTCTCACCCATCTATTGCCCGCCTGCAACTTTGACAATGTCGCCCACCCACCACGTTACAGGACGTCTCACGTTTCTGCATCCATTTCTTGGCCACCATTCTGTTAGCACCTTACTCCACCTGTGTTCACTACGTGGCCGGCCCAGCTCCATAAACTCGTTATCTGATCTCCTATGTCCTGGACCTTAGTTACGAGCTTAGTTTACGAGCAAATGTGATAAAAAGGACCATTTACAATAGCGATTCTTAGATGCCTAGAAATAGTATTGTAATGACAATGAAATGTAAGAAATAAATAAAATCAAACATGACCTAGAAACAGTAAACAATAGCTTTCCCACTATTAAAATAAATTGATTGTTGACGTGTTTACACTTCATTTCAAAAAGGGACTTAATATTACCACGTTGCAGTAAAACGTGTGATATTTTAGATGAGTTGCACATTCTCTAAATCGCGTACATTTGATTTTTAAAACTTTGCAAAAGAAATCCATTATCTAACCAGGATGCTGAGAGATGCCATTGAAAACTTCTCTAAATATAGTGAAAATTGCTCAGATTACAAAACAATGAAAATTATAATAAAATTGAGTTAAATAAAAATTGACACTGTTAAACTCAGATTACAAAACAATAAATACAAAGCAACCTCTTGTTTTGTAATCTGAGCTGGTAAATATTTCGCAAAACATGCAAATATGTATCGTGAATTGATTTTTTTTTTTTGGTAAATTAAAAATAAGGTATTGTAACGAGACCACTTTAAGGCTATTTCCTAAAACGCGATGTTAAGATTTTCCCTCGGCACCATAAGTAGATGAGCAAAGTATCTATTTGTGAATTCTGAATTCAATGTGTGTACGGCTCCTACTGGACCACATTGAACTATTGACTGCGATCGGGTTGTGTACGAGCACCTACCGGACCTCCCGTTACGCCCTTCTGTACTTTAAACTTTATTAAAGGTTTCACTTAAACTTTACTAAGCGTTTTTTCCTTCACTGTCGACACGAGCCCCTTTGTCACGGCCCCCCTGGACTCTGTTACAGTATTTAATATTTTTTTGTAATTTCACTATTAAAACTGCGAACCCGGATTCGAACCTACGATCTCTGCTCGAGAGGCGTTAGGTTATGACGGTGTGACCTCCTTACACCGTCATCTCACCTCTTTGTATTGCCTCTCTCCGCTTGTATCTTATCATTTTTTTTATTTTACATGTATTTAAATTTTAAATTTGAATTGTTCCATCTTCCTTCACTTTCTCATTTTGTTTTCGTACCACGGTCACTCCCAGCTCGACCGCCAGAACAATCGGAGCTGTTAATAAGCTAATCATGTGTAACAATTTATAAGTCTACAGCCTTCATGTATGTATTTCTGTAATTCAGTTTCTCGGCCCATTTAGGGGTAAGTGCCTTAATAATAAAGTGTAGGGAGTGTTTTATACTGTTACACCTGTTTTTTTACATTTACCTTTATATTGTTCCAGCCCTTTCTTTAAAGTTTACTTCTTTAATAAATTTTGTGGACCGGATGTTTCCCATTTCATAGCCGTGAACCTGTTCACGGCTAGTTAGGGTTACAACCCTTTCAAGGTCAAACCATTATTAGGCTCTAACGGCTTCTTCTTCCTAATGATGGCTTAAAAATACAAAACAGAACACCACCGAAACGAGAAACGCCCAATAGCATCCTAAATTATGCTCTCCGCATTAAATACAATAACGAATTTAAAATGTTGTGAACAACCAAAAATGTATTTTCATCATTGCTCAAAATCTATAATCTATATTTGATGAATTAAAAAACATCGCTAACAGTAGTCAATTAAAAAGCAAACAAATTGAAATAGGTTACAATTCATTCCTTGAAATAGGTTACAATTTATTCCAATGGCTTTCTAGGTCACCGACCGGTCACCTGTTTATTCACAACGTATCGAATAACGAACATACATATATACAGACAGACATATATACAAAGGAGACAGTGAATTCGTTCGTGTCGCCATTACTAAGTGATTGAATAATTGCGTCCTATACAGTCCAAATCACAATGGCCGGGTAGTTTTCTAATAGCAAACTTGAACAATTTATATAAAGTTTAAATTAATATTAATGGAACCCCGATACAAAACAGCGAATTCTAAAAGTCCAACAAAATTAACCATCTACCTACTACGACTCTACGAGACCAATCCATCGAGTACGAACTCAGTGGGTCTACCTTTAATAAAGTTTAGTTTGTACCTTCCAGCTTCATTGTCAGACCCTAATCACAATCTGTAAGCTATTCAATGAGCTCACACACAATAGTTTTCCTGTTATATTTTTTTTATAATATCAAGTGACAGGACGAAGAAGTCGTGCGTCAGATGGTAAGGGTCGTTGTGCCATTTAGAGCTTTAAATCGCAAAGACCCTGAGACATAAGTTGAAAATGTGCTTGTCACTTCAGCGCTCTGGTAATCTACACGTCTGTTCGTAACGGTTGCAGTGCCATTCAGAGCTTTAAATCGCAAAGATCTGAGGAGCATTGCCACTGCGCCTGACACCCTGAGACATAAGTTGACAAGTCTAGTTGATCAGCCACGAAGATGTAAAAAATCCATTCATTTTATGGCTGAGATTCATATATTTACAGGAAAAAGAGCTACATTGGTAATAGTAGAGGTCCGAGGTCCTTGTAAAAGAGTTCGTCCACTGTGTATTGCCACCTTATTTGCGATGTGAGCATCACTTTTTGCTTTTTTTTATATATTCTAAGTGCGCATTTGACCTCCATCTCACCTGATGAAAAGTGACGATGGAATAAACACACCTAAATAATGCCTATTCCCTCTCGCCTTGAAAAGGCCCAAGTTATAACGTTCAGGGAACAAATTCTGTAGGCAGGGAATTCCACTCCATAGCCGTTCGCCATATATAAATGTTGAAGCATAACGCTTCGTGCGAATCTTTGGAATATCCACAACATAGGGGTGGAACCCAAGCCTACGCCTAGTCGCCCGGTGATGGAAATCTCTGTGATATATCCTATAAAATACCGATAAGCAGGCAAGTTTACAGCGGTGTTCAAGGCTCTACAGCTTTTCAGTTTTGAAGGGTAAAGATGCTGGTGAAAGTATGGAACTTGTAAATTTTTGTCTCAGGGGGACCGGCGGAATGGCAGTACCCTGAGGAGGCATTGTTACTGTCACGGAAGAAAAAAAACAATGCCTTAAGCCTCGATTACTATCAGAACTGAAGTCGCTAATTCTTAATTTGAAACATTACAAAATCTCGATATTGATTGGTCGTAGTTTCAAATTTGAACAGAAATAACAAATTCTGGATTTTTAATATAATTTAAATTTTATTTTATTATTTTATTTATACCAACAATACCTATTATTGCCAGTTACGACGTTTTGATATTATTTTGAAATTTCAATCAATGTGCTGCCATCTAGCGGTTAATAGCTGAACCACGACGAATTGGAGTTATTAATTTAGTTCTCCAAAAAAGAAGCGACCATGTTGCCGGGGTGTAAGCTTTACTTTCGTTTCTTGTAATAAAAAAACTTCGATTAACAGAAAATTAAAAATTGATTAAAATAAGACTTACCAATGATATGGAATACCATTACGGATAATATTTTTGGTGCGGCTATAATTTTATACTCCAAAACAGCAAAGTAATTCATTTTTCTACGATTTTATAGAAATTTACGCGAAAAAATTGACACGACCATACCGTACAAAGCGAAAATAGCGAACTGAGCTCACATGGGTCCTATGAGACCTAAGGTTGACACGCGTCTGAGGCTAACTAACCACTTCTACTGTATTTTCTGTAGTGGCTAAGCCTAGTGGCTTACAACTTGTTCGTCTCATCTCATTTATTTATCGCATGACTTCGTAGATGTGATGCACTTCTAACATTTTTGTGGGGTGCATAAAGCTACTTTGCAAATAGTTACTTGGATTGCATCTAATGTACCACGTGTTGTCACTATGCAGATTCCACCTGGTAGCTGTTTTGTGCTCCGTTACTATATGATTGGTTGATAAAGGCAACTATGCAGCTAGGCATAATGGTACCATACCACATAAAACCCAACAAGTAAATTCTGTCATTTACATATCTCTCGACCCACTGCCACATACATATGTTAGTGAGTCGACGACTAGATATTTAAGTTGAGTAGAAGCTAACCTCTGTTGCTGGGCTGCGCTCGTCCGCGTCTCTTGTTATTAAATGATATCACCCTGAACAGCGCATTGTAATTCCACTCTATGCCGGTTACCAACAAGAACGTTCTAATAGTCCAAAGTTTAAAGACGGGTCTTCTTAGTGCATCTTATTCCTGTGACGCCGTTGTTGCTGTGGTTTTTGTAAACAAAAGTGTAGTCTAGTGTCTTTCAATAGGGTCACATATTGCATGCATAGTATCTCATAGCATTTCTATTTTCCTGTCAGTTTCTGTCCGTCCCCGACGATGACGGTGACTGTGTCCCCGGACCGGCGAGCAGACGCCATCGTAGCTCAACGGTGGGGTCCTGCAAGAAAGGTCGCGTTGCAAAGAATTCCCGGAGAACCGCTTGGTGTAAGCATAGTTGGAGGAAAGGTAAGGTTCTTTCAATTCATATTGTCCTGGTATTTGTTTTAACTTACTGTACGTATATTGTGTATACACGTACAGTAAGTTAAAACAAATATGGAACATTCGACAAATTATTTCATGCTGATTTGTCGACAGCCACGGAGGTATGTCGTCACGGAGTTTCGTGATCTTTCTTAACCTCTGAGTAGATGTCGCCTGTTGCTTCTCCATAGAAAAGTGTCAATAAAATACTGACTAAATTCATGATTTACACGCACACATATGTGGACGTTACATTGAGACAGTACCGTGGACATCGATGTGTCTGTATGAGGTGATACAAGTATATGGTAGTACCACTGAATATTTGACTAACTTTTACTAACAATAAAAGTAATGTTTTTAATAATTCAAAATGATACAACGGCAATCATCCTAATTCTGTCATGGCCATTATTTTATACAAGAATCACTTTAATTGAATAATTCTATATTGAATGAAAGTGATTCTAGATGCACTTCTTAAAAAATACTTGATAAATAATTTTCACTGACTTTGAACTTTTCTTTTAATAGGTGGACATCGTCTCCACGACTGATAGTGATGATGGAGAGGAGAAGGCAATTTTCGGGATTTTTATTAAAAATGTGGTGCCTGACAGTCCCGCGGGCAACTGCGGGGAGTTACATGTAAGTTGTTCTAGTATTATTCATAAAGGACGTCTGATTGCTGCGAAAGCATAAATGTGGTCCTTCAAACAAGGCGTAAAGAGGTGTCTAGGACAGGGATTGTATCAACACTGCACTAGGTTTCTTCGCATTCGTATTCCATATTCCATGTAACATCAGCTAGAACAGAGCTACATGTCTGTCATGTTGGAAAAGAAAAAGAAACCAACATTTTCTGTGGTTTTGATTATAACTTTTATAAAGTGCTTCATGGAATCCCAGTTTTGGGAGTTCTTCATTTGTATTATTATTATTATTATTAGGATGGCATCATTCAGGGCCTATGCAGCCCCTAGTTGATCTATTGTGATCACCACTAATTACTGTTCGACTGAATAATTTTCCTGGCTCCGACAATCTTTATATCCTCTGGTAGCCTATGATTTCCCAGTATTGAACCAGGAAGGAGCAGCATTGTGTAAGGAGATGCAGAGGCGCCTCATGGCAGAATCTACACTCTATATTTTCTCTCTGCATCTCCTTACATTCTCTTTTGTAACATTCTGTTAAAAAATTATAGCGATCTAACTATAAATTATCATCTCAGACGGGAGACAGAATTCTGGAAGTAGACGGTGTCTGTGTGAGATCAGCGCAGCACGAGAGAGCTGTGCAGTTGATCAAGGCTGCAGGGGAGAAAGTCACTCTTACCGTGCAGAGTCTATTGGCTTGGGTAAGTATTAGAACATTAACATGCAAAAAAAACTACCCCTACTGGTCAATTTCAATATGAGTAACATGCTTCATATCTTCGAAGACTTTATAAACCTTGTGTGGTTCTCGCAGATACAGTCATGATGTCTTTTAAAGCTGCGATGTCTTGTATACGAGCTGTTTAAGCCAACACTGCAGCTACGGTACCTACTTCATATTGATATCGTATATGTCTTTTGATTGGTACAGTAAAGCTACATGTGACCATACGTCAAGACCCTTTAAAAATAATACGAACTACATGAAGCAAGTTATGCATATTTGAAATTTTATTTCTCCTATTAAGCATGAAAAAGAAATCGATTAATTTCGTTCGTAGAATCTTTAAACCTTTCTCCTGAAAAGTTGTCTTTATGTGGTCTTATAACACCATACCATCATCATCAGCCTATCGCAATCTACGGCTACACATAGGCCTCTTCCAAAGCGCGCCATTTCGTCCGTAGCTTGTCGCATTCCATCTGCTGCCAGCAGCACTTCACAAATCCTCACTCTATCTGGCCAGAGGGCGTCCTATGTTACGTTTGCCAAGCCGTGGTCTCCACTCAAAAACTCGCTATCCTCATCGGTTGTCGATTCTTCGACAGATATGGCCAGCCCACTACCACTTTAGCGTGCTTATTCTACCAGCTATGTCGACCACCTTGGTTCTCTATCGAATAACCTTGTTTCGTGTTTTGTCCTTCAGACAAACTCCGAGCATAGCTCGTTCCTTAGCACGCTGAACGACTAAAAAACTGGTGTACTAACCGTGTCGTGAGTGTCCACGTCTGGGTCCCGTATGTCATAAGTAGAACGCACTGATTGAAGACCTTTGGTTTTCAAATTTCTTTCGGTAGTGTGGGTACTTATTATGACACCATACAGGCCAGATAAAATCGAAAGCTTTTTGCCAAGAACTTCAAATGGATTTTTTTATTAATTATGCAGAACACAGACTCGTCAGATGTAGAAGTATCATCTCCACCTCCTACTCCCACGCACATTGCAAGAAAGTCACCGGTACCACCACCACATCCCGATGACGTACCGGAACATGAGATTAAGGTAATTTTATTGAACATTTTAAATAAAAAAGTTTTTGATTGAAAATTGGAGATTTGAAACTATATATTATAATAGGCATATCAAATACGATTGGTAGAACATAAAGAAAAGTGGTTTATATTTAGTTTTGGTACATAAATTAGATGCATAATCCAGTATAGATCCAGGTTTTATAAAAAACAAAAAAAACAGCCAACTTCAGTACCAACAAAGAAAAAAGGATTAAAAGAAAATTTAATAAGCAGGCTAAGTAGCACTAATATTAAAAATAAAAAATAAAGTCACAAAAGCAAGGCGGGCAGATAATCGCAACTGCGTGCGATCGCCATTCACTAAACACCAGCACAAAAGAAACGTAGGCATGTCTGGAGTAAACAATATACAGTACATTCACTGTAGTTTAGCAACCACTTAGCAACATTGATTTTGTTGCATATCATGATATTTTTACTAACATAATGCTAATGTATTTTTGTGAAAATACGTCATTAGTTTGTTAGTGTTATTTATTTATATAAAGATGGAACAAACAAACGGTTCTTTGTGTTTCAAGGTGGTAAATTGTATAATACAGCAAATAAAATACTGTCCATATTTTCCAAGTCTAAGCCAGAGCTTAGGAAGACTGTGACGGGCTGGTTGCTTGCACTCAATTACGAGGAAACTGAACATCTCCTTCGTGCAGTGTATTAACATACACACACACACACACACACACACACACACACACACACACACACACACACACACACACACA